GAGGTATGCCCTTCCCCTCCACAGTGCTCACCACTTCCCTCAGATGTGGGACTACCCGCCCAACCCCCGAATCCCTGGTGAACACTGCACCCTTTGAGCGCCATAGTGTTAATCAGTTAGCGCCAATTTGATGGGGAATATATGTGGAGCCCATTATTCTGATCTTGTGTCACCTCACTTTGGATAATGGGCTTAAGCTCAATCCAGGATAATATGAGTGGTGCTAGCTTGCTGTCGTTTCTTAGAATTGAGTAATATTTCATTGTAAACATATACCAAATTTTAATAATCCACTCATGAATTGACAAACACTTGGGTTGTTTCCACGTCCTTGCAATAGTGAATTGTGCTGCCCGGTGGCTTATCTCTGATAAACAACTCCTTATGTTAAAACTTTTCCAGCCTCTAGACAAAGCTTCATGTCTTTAACCAATTACAAGCCAAAGAATCTTTAAACCCACCTATAACCTGTAAGCCCCCCCCCTTCGAGATGGCCCACCTTCTTGAGCCAAACCAATGTATGCCTTCCATGCCTTGATCTATGACTTCACCTGTAACCCCTGTCTCCCTGAAATGTATAAAACCAAACTGTAACTCAGCCACACTGAGTCCACTTGCTCAAGGCTTCTTGAGCATGGCTCCAGGTCATGGTCCTCAAATTTGGCTCAGAGTAAATCTCTCTAAAATTATCTTACAGAGTTTGGCTTTTTTCCCCATTGACATGATGAAAAAGACAGCTGGCGCTATCCGTATAATAAAGCAAACACTCATATAGCATGTACTTACTGCACGCCAGGCAGCATCCTTAAACGATACCTGCATGGCCGGTGTGATGTCCCCAGCAACCTTATGAGGTGGCCGCAGTCATTAGCCCCAATCTACAGATGAGCATATGGTGCTCAGTGAGGTTTAGCCACTTGCAGAGGCTCACACAGCCAACAAGTGGCAAGGACAGGATTTGGACCCAGGCCATCTAGTCCCGGAGTCTGTGCACTTGACCACCATGCTATGTGGCCCGTGTCCAAGGGGAGTGGTTTGCCCTGTAGGTGATGAGCTTCCCATCATTGTGGGTGACAAGGATAAACAACTGGACTAGACAGCAGTCTCTTCCGTGTAGTGGCCTCTGTGTCGAGCTCTGAGCTAAGCACTCTGCCAGTGCCATCTCCTTCCATCCTGATGGCCCCACTGCCAGATAGAGCCATCATTCCCCCTTAGGGATGAACGCACTGGGTTCAGAGACATTTGGTAACTGACCCCAGGGCTTGGGCTGGTGCAGGCTGGAGCTGGGAATCAAACAGGCCTGCCCAACTCAAATCCTGGGTTCTGTACCTCTTACCAGGGATGGTGGCCTGAGGCTTCAAACTCTGGGAGGGCTGGGTTGAACTAGATGACTTTTATGAAAGTCTGACAGGTAAAGGGACAAACTCTTTAAAAGAGCTGTTGTTACTAGTTGCTATGCCAAAAATATTAGTCATCTCATTTCAGACTTTATATGTGAGGATTGTGAACTAAAATAAAATTTTAAGGCTGACTGAATGGATCCCCTTGTGACTAAAGGAATATCCTAAAACTAAATTGTCTGCCAGGAGGAGGGAGGTCAGACAGGCCTCATCATGCCCCCCTCCCTTCTTGGAGATATCCTTTGTAACCCATGAACAGGCCTAAGGGTATGCAAGACAAACCTACATGTCCTCAATTTACACAACAAATCTCTGTCCCTGGCTTATCTCTGATAACAGCTCCTTATGTTAAAACATTCCAGGCCTTTAGACAAAGCTTCATGTCTTTAACCAATTACAAGCCAAAAAAAAATCTTTAAACTCACCTAGAACCTATAAGCTCCCCCCTTTGAGATGTCCCACCTTTTGGGGCCAAACCAAGGTATGCCTCCCACATATTGATTTATGACTTTACCTGTAACCCCTGTCTCCCTAAAAATGTATAAAATTGAACTGTAACCCAGCCACAAAGAGTCCACTTGCTCAAGGCTTCTTGGGAGTGGCTCCGGGTCATGGTCCTCAAATTTGGCTCAGAATAAATCTCTTTAAAATTATTTTACAGAGTTTGTTTGGCTTTTTTCCATTGACAGGATATATATCCCTTTCCAGGCTTTTATTTTCTTCTTTTGTTATAGCATGTGTCACAGCGGGTGGTCCCAAGGACAAACCTAGTGGCACACAGAGAGTCAGAGAATCAAAGTTTATTCTCGATGGCGGGCTCAGAGGGGTCTGGATGTCAAATTCTGAGCCCTGTCTACCCGATTTTTCACACTTTAATTTGGGGTAGTCAGAGGGGTGCGGTCTCAGGGGGCTAAGGTAATAGGTTAGTATTATGTTAATGTGGGTCTTCCATGACCGGTGGGGGTCTCAGGTGGCTGATGCCCCAAGTAATAGATGGGGGTTTTCCTTATCACTTTTACAACATTGTAGTGTTCTTCCTGAAAAGTTTCTCAAGGAGCAAAGAGTTAAATGGATGCATAGAGGGTCGGCTCTCTCTGTCACGGCATCAGTGCCCACTTTGGGGCAGACAGCAGCCATCTTTCCTGGTGGTTCCACCACGTGTCCCCATCTGACAAGCCTAGGCATGAGAATCACCACCCCAGGGCTCCACGATCAATGCAGCAGTCAGTTTTCAGATCTCTTCTTGCCTGTCTCGCCTGCAATATCTGGCTCAGGGGTCAGCTGCTTGGCTCATGGTCTTCCCTTGGCTTCCTGGACGTCATACCTCTTGGCTTTCAGCTGACCCCTTCCTTGGCAATGCCTACCAGTCTCAGCACTGGAAACACCGTCAGTGATGCTTTCCAGTCTGTATCTCCAGCTTGAGCCTCTCCTGTGAACTCCAGAGGCCTGAACCTGATTGTCGACTTCACAGTCCCTTGGATGTCAGGAAGGCATTTCAAACTTAGCATATCCCGTAATTATCTCCTAATCACCAGTCCTGCCCCCAAAGTACTCCCTTCTTGGTCCTCCTTGTCTGAGTTGAGGGCAACTCCATTCTTCTGTTTTCTCAGGCCTTAAACTATAGAATCACCCCAAACTCCTATTTTTAATTTCTTTCTTTCTTTCTTTCTTTCTTTCTTTCTTTCTTTCTTTCTTTCTTTCTTTCTTTCTTTCTTTCTTTCTTTCTTTCTTTCTTTCTTTCTCTCTCTTTCTTTCTTTCTTGACAGAATCTCACTCTCTTGCCTCTGAATCTCATTCTGAAGCAGGGTTAGAGTGCTGTGGCGTCAGCCTAGCTCACAGCAACCTCAAACTCCTGGGCTCAAGCGATCCTTCTGCCTCAGCCTCCCAAGTAGCTGAGACTACAGGCATGTGCCACCATGCCCGGCTATTTTTTCTATTTTTGGTAGAGGCGGGGTCTCGCCCTTGCTCAGGCTGGTCTTGAACTCCTGAGCTCAAACATCTGCCTGCCTCAGCCTCCTAGAGTGCTAGGATTACAGGTGTGAGCCACCATGCCCCGGCCCCAAACGCCTTTCTTTCACATATCTCATCTGTCAACAAATCCCATCAGCTCTGCTTTCAAAATACCATGTTTCCCCCAAAATAAGACCTACCCATAAAAAGTCCTAGCAGGATTTCTAAGCATTTGCTCAATATAAGCCCTACCCCAAAGTAAGACCTAGTGATAGGCATGGCTAAACAGCATATCTGCATAGCTCATGCATTTCATTGCAGAGTAGTAAAGAAGACCAGCCCTTCTCATCCGCCCCAATGTGACAGCTACCGTATTTCCAGGAAAATAAGACAGGGTCTTATATTTATTTTTCCTTAAGAAGACACCCTAGGGCTTATTTTCAGAGGATTGTTATTTTTTTTAAGTACAGTACAACAATCTACATTTATTCAAATATAGTTAAGTCGTCTGCTTCTGGAACATCATCATAACTCTCCAAATCCCGAATTCCATCCTGAATTTCTCGTGACTCTATTTGCTTTAGAACCATTGGCCCCAATCTCTCAAGTCGAGCAATAGAGCTCTCATGGGCCAGATGAGAAGGGCTGCTCGTCTTCTGTTCCGCTCCCGACGAAATGCGTGGGTTGTGCAGACGCGCTGCGTAGCCATGCCCGTCACTAGGTCTTATCTTGGGGTAGGGCGTCTATTGGGCAAATGCTTAGAAATCCTGCTAGGGCTGATCTTATGGATAGGTCTTATTTTTGGGGAAACATGGTACTATCCCAGAGGTGACCAGAAAGGTGCGGGCAGCCCCACCAACAAGGTCGGCTCCCCGTCAGGTCCCGGCCATCCTGTGCGTGCTGCAAGCTGAGGCTTTGAGGGGAAAGTCTCCTCAGTGAAGTGAGGAGCCCGAGGCTCCGCTTCAGGTATTGTGTGTGCCCAGGGGGAAGAAGGAAAGCTGTGGCTGCCATTTCACTCAGCACTGTGGGCCTCTCTCACCCCCACAAACACCAGGGGAAAGGGAAAAAGCTTCAGCAAGCGGTCTCCTACTGAGCCCAGAGAGATCATTTCTGCTGCACTGTGCAGATTGGACCCAGAGCTCACCGGATCTCTGATAAATAAGCCAGCCCTTACACGTCAGCTTTGCTGGCCTATCTCGGCTTTTCCTGAGTATCTGCAGCCCCAGACAAGATGAGTGCCAAAAGGAAGAGCCGTTCCGTTGAGTACAAGAAAGAAATTGTGGAGGACTCCAAGGGCAAGAATCTGACGGCTTTCTGCAAAGAGAAGAAGTTGGCTATCCGAATGGTCCGAAAGTGGCGGGCAGAATACGATAACCTCAGTCTACCCGTGGATAGAGGAAATGCTAAGAAGCGCACGTGTGGTTCAGGTCGGCAGCCTTTATTTCCCGAGCTGGAAGACTTGATCGGTGAGTGGATTGCTGATGGGAGAGCAGAGGCTTTGGTTGTGCGCAGGGCTGATATTCAAAGATTTGCCCTTGCATTGGCACCACAATTAGAAATATCCCCACAAGATTTCCAAGCATCACAACACGGGCTGGATGGATGGCTTCCTTCAGGGCCATGAAGTGTCTCTAGGAAAATCGACAACACTGTTTGAGTTGGAAGATGCTGACGTCGTTACCGGTAAGTTCAGAACCCAACGACTTCCGCTGTTGCCACCTGGCTCTCAGCCCGGAGCAGAATTACACCTCAGGTGCAGACGGGCCCATCAGACAAGTGAGGCAGGGAAACGCACTTCTGGGGGAGGGGGCGGAGAGCCCGGGGACAGGCCCCGCAGGGCAGAGGGAGGGCAGGAAGCAGGAGGCCGGCAGTGACGGGGCAGAGGGAGCGCCGGGCTAAAACCGGTCGATGTAGACCTGAGAGTGCCTTTCGCTGACTGGCTGTGTAGCGTTGAGCAAGTTACTTAACCTCTCTGAACTTCCACTTTGTACGTGGGGCGAGGACAGGGGCTGGGGAGGCAATCCTGGCTTCCCCCTGGCAGGGTCGTAGTGGCGACGGAAGGAGACAGTGCAGGTGGCCTGGAGTCTCGCCCCACAGTGCAGGGGGCGGTCCTCAGCCTGCACGGAGGCGTGGCAGGCGACGCCGAGGAAGTGGGGGTGGCGCATGGGGGCGGGGCGCGGCCTGGGGGAAGGGAGACAGCGAGGATCCGACCTGACCCGGCGACCTCGCGGGCGGGGCGGGGGCGGGGACCTGGCCTGGGGCTGGTTCCTCTGCCAGCTATGAGGCCACTCGACAGCAGCAGTGGGTCCGTCTGCAGCAGTGGGTCCGTCGGTCCTCCTGCCAGGTCCCGCCGCGCTCACCTGCCACCCGCACCTGTCGCACCGCTAGCAGCCCGGCCCCAGCATGGCGGAGCAGGCGCCCTTCGACACGGATGTCAGCACCCTGACCCGCTTCGTCATGGAGCAGGGAAGGAAGGCCCGCGGCACCGGCGAGATGACCCAACTGCTCAACTCGCTCTGCACGGCGATCAAAGCCATCTCCTCGGCGGTGCGCAAGGCCGGCATCGCGAACCTGTGAGTCAGGCCTCGGGCCGTGGGCCCCGTCCTGTCTGCCTGTCCGCCTGGGGAGTGAGATTGCCTGGCACTCAGGGTTCGGCTGTCTGGTCCTCCTGCTGTCAGCTTCTGTCCGTCCTTCTGACATCTAAGAGTCTCTTTCTGCCTATCTATCTGGTAGCCGCCCCTCCAGAAACTTGCCTAGTTGCACCAAAGCCCTCCATCCCCTTCCTTTGACCTTGGAAGTGTCCACCTGGGGGTCTGTCTCCCAGTTGCACACCTGCTGCATCCTTCGTTGCTCTCCTCTGGCCCTCGCAGCCTGCGCTGGCACCTCTCAGCTTTGGCCATCCTAGCTTCAAATAGGAAAGTGCTAGCTTAGGGTGTCTTCCTTTCCCTTTTTCTTCTCTGTCCTCCTTCACTCCCTTTGGAGTCCCAAATCAGGTGGTTTTTTTTTTTTTTTTTTGAGACAGAGTCTTGCTTTGTTGCCTGGGCAAGAGTGCCCTGGCGACAGACTAGCTCACACCAACCTCAAACTCTTGAGCTCAAGCGATCCTCCTGCCTCAGCCTCCCGAGTAGCTGGGACTACAGGCATGCACCACCATGCCTGGCTAATTGTTTTTCTATATATATTAGTTGGCCAATTAATTTCTTTCTATCTATAGTAGAGACAGCGTCTCGATCTTGCTCAGGCTGGTCTTGAACTCCTGACCTTGAGTGATCTTCCCGCCTCTGCCTCCCAGAGTGCTAGGATTAAAGGCATGAACCATCATACCTGGCCCAAATCAGGTGTCTAATCCAGTATCTCCTGGACCCTAAATAAGACCTGTTAGCAGTGAGTGGACCCCCAGGCAAGCTGAAAGTCTGCATTCCCAGAGCTTTTAGGAGCAGCAATGCTTTGTTTAAAGGCTCCAGTGGCTGGTAAAAAGAGAAAATTTTCCCTGAGAGTTTTAAAGCCTCTACCCATTTGAAATAATGGTGTGTGCAGCCCTTGCCCAATTAGTGAATAATTCACAAGCTGTTTGTAAATAGAATGATTTTAAAAGAGCCAGAGAGTGCACCTGGAACTTCACGGTGCAGAGGAATCTTTTGGGGATCTTGTTAAGATGTGGTTTGGGGTTTGGCCTGAGATTCTGCATTTCTAAGAAATTCTCCTTTGGTGAGTGGTGCTGATCTGATATTGCTGGTCTGCAGATCACAGTGTGAGTAGCAAGGAGTCAGGGGATGTGGGGACTCCAGGAGCACCTTCTTGTTAGGCTTTTTATAAGTCACACAATACCCTTTGGTTTGTCCTGGTGTGCACAAGTATTTTATATTTAACGGGTCCTCATTTTAACTGAAGGGTTCCTGGGTTTTCAGATTGTCCATGCTCCTCCCTAATATCCCCACACTTATAAACACTATAAAATGACACGTTATGCTCATAGGTGATCTGAAAAATATAATCCTGCCACTTTGGAATGCATTTCTTCATTTTTAAAAACTCCTCCACCCTAAAACCTCTGTTCCTTTTCTGGTAAGCTCTTTGGCTCTGGGTCATTGGAGCTAATTCTATATTTTTTTTGGAGACAGAGTCTCAATCTGTTGACTGGGCTAGAGTGCCATGGCATCAGCCTAGCTCACAGCAGCCTCCAGCTTCTGGGCTCAAGGGATCCTCCTGCCTCAGCCTCCCGAGTAGCTGGGAATGCAGGCATGTGCCACTATGCCCAACTAATTTTTTCTATATATTTTTAGTTGCTCAAAGGATCCTCCCGCTTCGGCCTCCCAGAGTGCTACGATTACAGGTGTGAGCTACTACGCCAGGCTGAGCCATAGAGTTTTAAACTAAAAGAGACTCAGCAGTCACCTTGTCCAGTTCCCTCCTTGTATAAATGAGAGCCCTGAGGCCAGGGAAGATGCTGAGACTTGGCCTGTGGCCCAGATCTCCGGAACTCCAGTTTAGGGTGTTTTATTTTTGTTTATTTTGCTTCACCACACACCATTTTCTTCATTTTTTTAAGAAATCAATTAAAGTTCACCAAACTCTAAATCTCATTCATTAATTACATTTTTGATGTGAGTTAGGAATTTTATCCCAAGGAGCCATTGCCTTTTGGCAAACACGCCCTTGAGGTCTTCTATGCTTCAGGAGAACAGTTAGCAGCCCGTACATGGAGCTGATGAATTCATGGTTCAAACATCAACGGCAAGCATTGTCCTCCTTCTTTGCTTTCTTTTCTTTGGGAGAAAGTGGTCTTCTTGTGGCTTAAGCCTTTTTGTTTTGTGGAGTTGATGTGGAGTTGACTTTACTTTGTATACATTTCCAAATCACTGTCTGAAGACTTAACTGATTTCATTCAATTCAACCAAATGTTATTGAACACCCACCATGCTCAAAGTTCTAGAAGAGACTGAGACATGAGAATGACACAGCTTACTCTGTAGGAACAAATAAGTGTAGAATTAGTAATAATAGACAATAGAAGTTCTGAAAGATGCTTTCACTGAGGTGCCAGAAATACGATTTAGGTGCAAAGGATCATGGGGCATCAAGATGGGCACTTGCAGTGGGCAGCCGAAGGCAGTCAGTTCTACGTCCTGATGACTGGCAAGCAGACCAGGCTGGGTGGTCATGTGAGGACATGGCCTGAGACTGCCCAAAGCATGGAGTCCATGCAGTGGGGCAATTGTGGATGTAAAATTATGGGTGCCTTGGGGAAGTCTCAATGGCAAGGGTGAGTAGCATACTTTTAGCAAGAGGGGAGAGCAAAGGTTTTGAGTAGGCAGTCACATGATTGGAGACAAATCTGGGGAAGATGTGGCTGGAAGTCTGGAGTTGGAAGAGGGAAAGATAGGACATGGGGAAACCAGTGGAAAAGGGGACTGAGGTAAAAAGTCTGCAGAGCTGCAGCACTGAGGAGAGGAGGGGAGAATTAGGGGGGGAGTCTGAGTGTGGATTGCAGAAGTGTAGGGACGGGGATTCTCAGAGCACTGGTCCTAGTACTTGAGAGCAGGCCTGTGCCTTCAAGAAACAAAACAACAGAGTTTGAGACCAGCCTGAGCAACATAGCGAGACCCCATCTCTCCAAAACATATATGGTGGCACACACCTATGGTCACAGCTACTCGGGAGGCTGAGGCAGGAGGATCGCTTGAGCCCAGGAGTTTGAGGTTGCTGTGAGCTATGACAACGTTACTGCACTCTAGCTCAGGCAACAGTGAGGTCCTGTCTCCAAACAAACACCCCACAAAAACAAAACCAGAATTCTCATAGAGGAGCTAGTTTTTAAAGGCTGGGGAAGGGTGAGAAGATGATTCCAACATTTTGGAGACTTTGAACTTGGTATTAGATGCCCAGCCAGTTGGAGATGTCCAGCCTGCAGTTGACAGTTCAGCTCTGACTGAAGATTCGGTGACTGGATTTTGGCTTATTCTTGAGGCAGAGAAAAAGGGGAGAAGAAAATCCAGATGGGATTTAGCATGCCAGGAACATGCAGGGCTGAAAGCACATTTTGGAGAGACATGGAGCTGGGCTTAAATTCCTAACTCTGTCATTTAATTTCTGTGAGGATTTGGGCAGTTGATGTAATGTCTCTGAGTCTCAGTTTCCCTGCTTGTAAGATGGGGAACACTGTTTTTTCAACCTCAGAGTTGTATGAGGATGGACTGAGTCCTCACTAATCAGGTACTGATCTTATCATTGTTTTCCCATAGACTTTTTTTTTTTTTTGTAAACCATTATTTCTCTATTTTGCTCTTTATTCCTAAACAGTAGCCCACATGTGTATCACAGGGATATATTCCAGGCTAGGATGTTACATATTAGAACAGTGTTGCAGCATCAGAGTGGTTAGAGGAGACGCCCTCTGGTCATGTTCTATTGTGTCCAGAAAAGTTACTCTTGTATATGGAGTCCTCTCAGTTGTTTGAAGGAAGAAAATTAAAAATTTCAGTTTAAAATTTGGAATTATGGGTCAGCTAATATATGTTTAGGCTCATCTTAAAATTTGCAGAACTTATGACATTAAACTTTTGGAAGCGTTCTCAAATTTATTTTATATGTTTTGAATTATCTTCTCCATATGACCCCAGAGTGACTTGTAACTTCATTTCCATAGAAGAAGCACAGCTGGCCGTATACTACCCTATTTGTCCATTTTCGGTCCACGTGAACACAAGCAAAGTTTGGAGTTTGTGACCTTTGAAATCTGTTCTGGTTGATGCCTCTTAATAGTATTTCTGAATTAACCTTTGGATGTTCCCAGCTGGGTGAATGGTTGATTACCATGAAATTAATAACAAGCCAGTGTCACCTTTGATTTTATTTATTTTTGAGACAGAGTCTCACTCTGTTGCCTGAGCTAGAGTGCTGTGGCATCAGCCTAGCTCACAGCAACCTCAAACTCTTGGGCTCAAGCAATCCTCCTGCCTCAGCCTCCCAAGTAACTGGGACTATAGGCATGCACCACCGTGCCCAGCTAATTTTTTCTATATATTTTTAGTTGTCTAGCTAATTTCTTTCTATTTTTTTTTTAAATTTTATTTTTTTAGTAGAGACAGGGTCTCGCTCTTGCTCAGGCTGGTTTCAAACTCCTGAGCTCAAACGATCCACCTGCCTTGGCCTGTCTTTGACATTAGTGATAAGAATTAAATAGTAATCTACCTCCCTTTTGGTTTAGTTGGGTGTTCTGAAACTGAGATTGGCTCTTTTGTGTGCTGTCCACAGTGTTGGCATCAGCAGGAGATGGTCCTAAGTCAGTTAGCAAATCCAGGAAGTCATTAAGGGTTCTAAGTGTGGCGTGCCCTGACTCTAGTCCTTGTGTCTAGGATTGTGCTTCAGGAATGCAGTTAGAGGTTTCTTTCCCCAATCATGAATCTGCATGCTCGTATCACAGATCATGGCCATGAAATGGTCATTCATTTTGAACTTTTATGCAGACTTGAAACGATCTATATTTAACCCATATTCCAGGATCTCAAAATACTGGCTAAATTAACATATGCTTTTTAAGGATTCGCCTGACGTGAAATAAAAATGCTTATAGCTTTTTAAACCTTTCAGTGAGGTTTACAGTAAAAATAAGACATATTATGGACAGCCCTTCTTTTTTTTTTAGAGACGGGGTTTCGCTCTTGCTCAGGCTGGTTTGAACCTGATTTCTGGCACGCCGCCTCAGCCTCGCAAGAGCTAGGATTACAGCGTGAGCCACCGCGCCCGCGCCTGACAGCTTCTTAAACTGAGTTTTGCTCCCCAAATGCCAGAAGAGCTTGTTTTTTTTTTTTTTTTTTGAGCAGTCTGGCTTTTGTGCCCTGCTAGAGTGGTGCGTGTGTCAGCTAGCTCACAGCAACTCTCAACTCTTGGCTCAGCGATCCTCCTGCTCAGCCTCCTGATAGCTGATACAAGGCATGCACCACCTCGCCGCTAATTTTCTATATATATTTAGTTGCAATTAATTTCTTTATTTATAGTAGGAGATGGGGTCCTCACTCTTGCTCAGGCTGTTCGAACCCTGAGCTCAAGCATCTGGCTGCTCGGCTGCCAGAGTGCTAGGATTACAGGCGTGAGCCACCATGCCTGGCCAGAAAGAGCTCTTTTGTGTCTCTGGGGGTTGAAAAGGGAAAGGTAACAGGGGATTAAACCCTGACAGTGTGCTCTTCCCACTTTACTTGGGCTGCAGGGTTGACTAATTTGAATAAAATTGAAGTGAAATGTCATACACATCTCAAATGAAATAATATGCCTGGTGAGATTTTATCAAATGTAAACTTGGGAGCACTTTTTTAAAAAAATTGTTTTTGCCAGTTACCTGTGATAACAGTTCTGTATTGGCTGCCTTCCCAGAACTTGCCTACAAAACTGGTTTAGAGACGTCTTCCCTCCGCCCACCCACTTCCCCATGAACCAGCACTTACTGAGTGGATGCCTATGGGGCTCTATCAAGAACAACGACCGACCGGGCTGGCGCGGTGGCTCATGCCTGTAATTCTAACACTCTGGGAGGCCGAGGCGGGCAGATTGCTCAAGGTCAGGAGTTCGAAACCAGCCTGAGCAAGAGCAAGACCCATCTCTACTAAAAATAAAAAGAAATTAATTGGCCAACTAAAATATATATACAATAAATTAGCCAGGCATGGTGGCACACGCCTGCAGTCCCAGCTACTTGGGAGGCTGAGGCAGGAGGATCGCTTGAGCCCAGGAGTTAGAGGTTGCTGTGAGCTAGGCTGATGTCATGGTACTGTAGCCTGGGCAACATAGTCAGACTCTGTCTAAAAAAGAAAAAACCAGTGATGGCTGCCAGTTGGTGGCGGTGGGTACTGCTAGGAACCAGGTGCCTCACATGCATTTTCCATCGTCCTTCCAACCTGTCCAGAAACAGCCAATTAGAGAATTGGTATAACTTAATGGAGGTCACCTAATCAGAAAGAAGGAAAGGCAGAATTGGAACCCTTTCTGGTACTGAGTTTCTGCCAGAGTCCCACCCTGTTTCTCAGCATGGTTGTGTTAATTCCAAGCGAGTTATGGTTGGGAATGGAAAAGTGATGAGTTTTGTGCGCTTGCAAGCACCAGGCACTATTCTGACCCCTTTATCTATATTAACTCATTTATTCCCCTCGTACATACTGTGAAGCAGATATACTAATTCCCATATCGTGGATGAAGAGCCAAGAACTCAGAGATGCCAAGTGACTCTCAGAGCTGGGATTAGAGTCCCAGTGTGTGGTCTTGACCATTGCACCCTACAGTTTCCTGATGAACTGGCTGGAGGGAAGGGCCATTCCACTTGCCTTGACACTAAATTTGCACAGCAAGCACACTTTTATCAAGAGAGTATGCTAATCTGGAGTGGTTTTGGTAGGCTGAGGGGTCTTAGAGATTACGAAGGGAGGTGTTACCAATACCAGCGAGTCTAATGGAGTTTAATCTTGGAGATCCTTTAATGTCTTTATTACTTTCTAATTCCACTCATCCATTCAAAAAGTGTTCATTGAGCACTTACTATGTGTGGGCATTGTTCCAGGTGGTAAGGATACATGGTGAACAAAATATCATTCTTTCTTCCAGGCTCAAGGACTGGTGAATTTTTCTTCCTTCAGAGGCACATTTATTTATTTATTTATTTATTTATTTATTTATTTTGAGACAGAGTCTCACTCTGTTACCCGGTCTAGAGTGCCATGGCATCAGCCTAGCTCACAGCAACCTCAAATTTGGGCTCAAGTGATCCTCCTGCCTCAGCCTCCCGAGTAGCTGGGACTACAGGCATGCGCCACCATGCCCGGCTAATTTTATATATATATATATATATATATATTTAGTTGGCCAATTAATTTCTTTCTATTTTTAGTAGAGACGGGGTCTCGCTCTTGCTCAGGCTGGTTTTGAACTCCTGACTTTGAGCAATCCGCCTACCTTGGCCTCCCAAAGTGCTAGGATTACAGGCGTGAGCCACCGCGCCCGGCGTTGGATCTTGTCTGTCTCGTTTGGCACTGTAACCCCAGCACCTAGAACAGTTCCTCGTGCAGGATAGGTCCCCAGTAAATATGTATGGACTAAATGGAACACTCAGCCCTCCAGGGGCCTTTCGAGTGAAAGGCACAATGGCCTGAATGACCCTGAGGGGAGGTACCTGAGCAGGTGGGACTTGGGCCACAGTGTGGCATAATAGGTCTTTCCTTCCTGTGCTTGCCCCAGCTTCCTGGGCCTCCAGAGCTGTCCCCGCTGGGCCACACCTACGCAGTGCCATGGCCCTTCGTGTGCCTTGTCGTGTAATCCTCTAGCAGCCCCATGAGGCAGACATCCCTTCCTTCTCTGGGCATGTGCAAAAGGGAGGGAGGCCGCGAGAGGGCAGGGGACCTGCAGAGCTGAGGTCTGACCGGGTCTCTGTCTTAAAGCCCATGTCCTTGCCCATCAGCATGATGAATCAATAGTGACTTTAATGGTAGAAATCTCAGGCTGCTGGGAGAGAAAATCACTCCTGGTGGGGCCAGTGAGGACACGTATTTGGCTGGTGGCCCTGCCGAGTCCCTCCGGTCTGCCCAGAATTTGTCTGCCTTCTTCTTCCACCAGTGTTGGCCTCACAATTGAGGTCAGAAAGAGATTATGTGGAAATAGAACCAAAAGCTCAAAGATGCGGGCTCCAGCTGCAAGTCCCACAGATCTCTTGGTCTTCCCTCATGAAATAGGAGTCACATGGTGAAAAGAGAAGCAGGCAGCAGGAGGACTGGTGGGACAAGACAGGCTCCCCGGGCTGGAAAGGTGCTGGAAGTGGCAGACCCCGACACACTGTCCTGACGAGACAGCGGGAATTACCTCCTGAGATGGCCAGGCCAGGCCTTGGGGTGCGGATGGTTTCTGTGGGTGGCACAGTTCTGCCCAGCCAGGCACAGCAAGTTACATTTTGAGAAATTGCAATTTCAGGAGTTGAAGCAGTGACAATCACTGCAGCAGTGATAGCAGTGACAATCAGTTCCTAGGCAAGCGCTCCTAGCAATATTGGCCAAGGTGCAAATTGTCCCCTTATCACCACTTTCAGCTGCTTGGTAGCCTCTAAATGCTCCATCTCATTCCCCTCTCAGGTCGTCTCTTATCGTGTTCCTGCACCCTTCCTGTGAGATATCTTCCCACCTTTCTGTTTCACGCGCAACCTCAGGCTATGACAACCTGCTTCTTCCCTCATACTAACAAGCTAGGCTGTATTTTGTACAAGACACTTGGATTCTGGGAATTCTACAATTACTGACTTGCACATGGCTTAAAAATAAAGCAAGAACTCCAGGCTCCCTCTGCTCTTTCTGTCCCCTAGAACTCCTGCCAAGAAGACTGGGAAGTCACTGGGGGCTTCTCACCTCTCACCTCTCCCATCTCTGCAGTTTGGAAAAGCCCTCAGGGGGCTGGAATCTGAGTCTCCTCTATAGAATGAGGGGGGAACCAGGTGATGTTTCTTCCCCTTTAGGACTTTTTAGTTACAGAACAATAACCTCCCTGGCGGAGCTCGGGCTCTCTCTGACCCAGCTTCCTGACTAGCTATGTTGCCGAACTGATTCATTTAACCCATGAGTTTGGGGGCAAACATTGGCTGTTTATGGGCAAAAATAAAAACAACCTCAGATTTTTTTTTTATGTATAAAGCACCAATATACATACAGTGATGAGCAGATACATACCTGTAGTATTAAAATTGAAATTCATGGGGGAGTGCAGTTAGAAAAAAATGTTATCAAGGCTCTTTACGGGGATCATAACGAAAAAAAGGTTGAGAAACACTGATGTGACACAGAGGTGTGCAGGGTGCCATGACAGGCCCTAGGACAAAAGGTGTATGACAGTGTGTCCTCCCCTGTCTTGTCTCTCCCAAATCAAGTGTCTTCTTTCCTTTCTTCCAATTGCTACAAGATGTTGACTCATAGGTGCATCTGCACATTCCGGTGGTCATGGCTTAGTTTTTGTGGCTTTTCTTCCCTCTAGCTACGGCATTGCTGGCTCCACCAACGTGACAGGTGATCAAGTTAAGAAGCTGGATGTCCTCTCCAATGACCTGGTCATGAACATGTTAAAGTCGTCCTTCGCCACCTGTGTCCTTGTGTCGGAAGAAGATAAACATGCCATAATAGTAGAACCCGAGAAAAGGGTGGGTCTGTACTTCCACTGCTGAGGGTTTTTCTTCCCAGCTTCATAAATGACTCCACTTGCTTGGCCAAGCTGGGTTTCTGGGAATCCCCCTGGATCCCTCCTGTCATCTTTTCACAGATTCTGCCTCACTCCCAAATCCCCCTCGCCACTGTGCACACGGCCACCAGAGCTCCTGCATTGCCATCTCTCCGCTGGACTCCCGCGACTCATCTCCATTTCTAACTTTTCATTGTCCTGTTCAAGGCCCCTCGGAGTCTGGCTTCTGTCGGCTACCTCTTTTGCTACATCTCTGTCCACCAGATGCCCAGCCCGTATGCCTGACCCTGCTGCCAACCACAGCTACTTCAAGTGTCCATCGCCAATTCTCCCATTGCAATCTCTTGGATCCCTGCTGGTTCGATGGCTTCTTGAGGGCAGAGAATGAGTTATTGTCTTCTCTGTCTCCCAGCATCTAGCACAATACCTGGCAGATGGTAGGGGTCAACAACAAATGATGGTAGAGAAAGATTGTTGAATGAAAGACTGTATCCAGCTTTATAAAGCAACAATTGTACTTTTAAAAAACTTTTGAGAGTATAAGTGCAGTTATCCGGGCTTGCTATCTTTTCCTGTTTGAGATAAACTGGGTATATGAAGGAGTAGAATTAACAAAACAGTAGAAAACAAAACAAAACAATAAGAATATAAATTAAAGAGGCTGCCGGTCTTGACCTTATTAACAGGACAGGAGCCACGGCTGATTAACTTGCTTTACGTCATTCCTAAAATAGTCCTACATGCCAGATTCAAATTCACATGTTTCTCTACCGGGCCTGTCAAGGTCGTTGGCAGTTTCAGGCATGCGACTTGCGTTCGTTGTTCAGTAGTCTCTGTCAGGCACCCCAGACTTCCCTGACTACAGTATGCCTTCTGCTAGGCACGTTCACATTTTCCAGTTCATACTTCCTCCTGTATCAGTGAGGGCGATTTTTTGAGAGCAAGGGGCCAGGAAATCATCTTAATCTGGCGCAGAACATGTAAAAACCCCATGTTAAAGCGGCTAATTTGGAGATGGAAAATTCCCAGTGGTGTGCTGGTGAACTGGGTCTCAAAACAAACCCACGGAAAATCTCCGACACAGCACTCACCACCGTCAGTGGCTCACGCTCTGTGGCTGACTGTGAGCTGCCGGCCTGTCATGAGCAACAGCAGAGCTGGAAGAGGTGTGCACAGTTAGCTCCCGACAGCCAGCATGCCACCGAAACCCCGCTCAAACAGTGAGTTTTTGGTAGTCCCACTGCGACAGAGGGTGACTTCCTTTGGGAATTACTCTAGGGATATTGTTGAAAACTCTGCACCCCAACCTCAACTGACATCTATAAGACATATGTAAGAAATTTCCTGTAGATCTTAATTCTAGGAAAGCCTTCACTGCACTTAAGGAATCATTATTATTTTTTCCTTATATAAAGGAAAATGAGTGACTGATCTTGTTTCTCCTCTTCCTTTGGATGCCAGGAAACTCAATCCAAAATTATAATTTGACTTATCAACAATGTAGGAAATTATGATTTATTTATCTGTATTCCATCGCATTCATCTATGCCTCCTATTCTAAGTGGTGTTTTCTCTGTTTAATGACCTTTTGGTATGTATATAAGCATATATATTCATTCAGTCTATATGCCGCTTCATATCTTCCATGACAGTATAAACAAGACCCACATTTCTTGAACTTTCCTCTAGAGTCCCATTTTTACTCTCATGGTGTATACTCTGTATCTTGTTACAATGTATACCAAGTGCTTGTAGTGTATATTGTCTATCTTGTTATTAATATAATATTTTAAAGTTGTATTTCTTTTTTCTTTGCTCAGGGTAAATATGTGGTCTGTTTTGATCCCCTTGATGGATCTTCCAACATTGATTGCCTTGTGTCCATTGGAACCATTTTTGGCATCTACAAAAAGGTAAAATATGATATATCAAGCACCTGGTTTTGAATCAAAAGAAAAGTTAAGATTGAACATTGAACATTCTGTCCAATGTCACTGTGGTGGAACAACCAGAATGTATATCATGAAACTCTGCGAAGCTTCAATAGATTTGTATCTCACGTTCTGAGTTTTTATTTTTATTTTATTTTTTCTTAGCCTGGGTATTGCTCTGTGGTCCAGGCTGTGAGTGCAGTGGTATGATCATAGCTCATATAACTTCGAATTCCTGGGCTCAAGAGATCCTCCTGTCTCAGCCTTCCAAGTAGCTAGGACTATAGGCCACACCACCACACCCAGCTAATTTTGAATTTTTTTGTAGAGACAGTGTCTTGCTATGCTGCTCAGGCTATTCTTGAACTCCTAGCCTCGAGTGATCCTCACTTCAGTCTCCCAAAGTGCTGGGTTTACAAGCATGAGCCACTGTGCCTGGCCTTCAAGTTCTGGGCTTTTCAGCCCTAATTGCAGAATGAAGATCCATTAGATTGTTAAAAGAGAATATAATAGTAAAACATGGGTAGGAAGAGAGTATATTTCACTTTTTAAACTATGTCTTTCTTTTATGATAAAAAAATTAGATTTTAGAAAAGGAGATAGTACAGGGTAGGTAAAGTGATTGCACTACGTCACCTGAGAGACGTGAGAGTATGACAACTATAGAGATTATTTATCTCAAAATTGTCCTTTAAATCCTCCGAATAAAGGGTCTGCAAACTATAAACCCCTAGCTTGTTGCCTAATTTGTATGGCCTGTGAACAAAGAGTAACTATTTTGCATTTTAAATAGTTGAACAAAATCTAAATAATAATACTGACCAGGCATGTGGCTCACATGGCCTATAAACCTAGCACTCTGGGAGGCCTAGACGGCAGGATTGCCTAAGGTCAGGAGTTTGAGAACAGCCTGAGCTAGAGCAAGACCCTGTCTCTACTAAAAATAGAAAGAAATTAGTGGGACAACTACAAATACATAGAAAAAATTAGCTGGGCATGGTGGCTGCATGCCTGTAGCCTCAGCTACCCCGGAGGCTGAGACAGAAGGATGGCTTGAGCCCAGGAGTTTGAGGTTGCTGTGAGCTAGGCTGATGCCACGGCACTCTAGCCTGGGCGACAGAGTGAGACACTGTCTCAAAAAAAAAAAATTTTAATGCTGCATGCAATTTATATAAAATTTAATTTACACTGTTCACAACTGAAGTTTTATTGGCCTATGGTCACATTCATTTGTTTACATATTGCCTTTGGTTGATTTTATGCTACATTGTCAAGGATGAGTAGTTACTATAGAGACTATATGACCCAAAAAACTTAAAATATTTACAATCTGTCCATTTGTAGAAAAAGTGTGCTGGA